TCTCACTTTTTATTTTTCATTAGACTAACTTTTTAAAATTATATTTTATTGATTATGCTATTATAGTTGTTCTCATTTTCCCCCTATAGTCCCTCTCTGCCCAGCACCCCACACTCCCTCAAGCAATCCCCGCCCCATTGTTCATGTCCGTGGGTCATGTGTGTATATAAGTTCTTTAGCTACTCCCTTTCCTATACTGTACTTTATATTCCCATGGTTATTCTGAATTACTTATCTGTACTTCTTAATCCCCTCACCTCTTCACCCATTGCCTCACACCCCCTCCCATCTGGCAACCATCAATATGCTCTCTATATCAATGATTCTGTCTCTGTTCTTGTTGCTTAGTCTGTGTTTTAGATTCAATTTTAAAAAATATCTTATTTATTTATTTTTAGAGAGAAAGGGAAGGAGAGAAGGAGAGAAACATCAATGTATGGTTGCCTCTCATGAGTCCCCTGCTGGGAACTGGCCTGCAACCCAGGCATTTGCCCTGACTGGGAATCAAACCGCGATTGTGTGGTTCGCAGGCCCGCGCTCAATCCACTGAGCTACACCAGCCAGGGCCCTAGATTCAATTTTTGATAGATATGTATTTATTGCCATTTTATTGTCCATAGTTTTTTTAAAGTATATTTTATTGATTGTGCTATTAAAGTTGTCCCAATTCTCCCCCCTTTGCCCCTCCCCTTCTTGTAACCCACTTCCCTGCAGCAGTCCCTCCCTTAGTTCATGTCCATGGCTTCTTTGGCTTTGTCTATAAGTTCTTTGGCTTGTCCATTTCCTATACTATTCTTAACATACCCGCTGTCTATTTTGTACCTCCAGTATGCTTCTTAATCCCTGTACCTTTGCCCCCATTTCCCCCCTTCCCTCTCCCTGCTGGTAAACCTACAAATGGTCTCCATATCTATGATTCTGTTCCCACTCTAGTTGTTTGCTTTGTTTTTTTAGATTCAGTTGTTGATAGTTGTGAGTTTGTTGTCATTTTACTGTTCATAGTTTTTATCTTTTTTTTCTTAGATAAGTCCCTTTAACATTTCATATAAAAGGGCTTGGTGATGATGAGCTCCTTTACCTTGTCTGGGAAGCACTGTATCTACCCTCCAATACTAAATGATAGTTTTGCTGGATAGAGTAATCTTGGATGTAGGTACTTGCATTTCATCAGTTTGAATACTTCTTGCCAGTACCTTCTCGCCTGCAAAGTTTCTCTTGAGAAATCAGCTGACAGTTTAATGGGAGCTCCTTTGTAGGAACTCTGCTTTTCTCTTGCTGCTTTTAAGATTATCTCTTTATCTTTAACCTTTGGCATTTAATTATGATGTGTCGTGATGTGGTACTCTTCAGGTCCAACTTGTTTGGGACTCTCTTTGTTTCCTGGATTTGTATGTCTATTTTTTTCACCAAATTAGGGACATTTTCTTTCATTATTTTTTCAAATAAGTTTTCAATTTCTTGCTCTTCCTCTTCTCTTTCTGGCATCCCTATGATTTGGATGGTGGTACTTTTGGAGATGTCCCAGAGTCTTCTTACTCTTTCCTCATTTAAAAAAAATTCTTGTTTCTTCATTCTGTTCTGGATGACTGCTTATTTTTTCCTTATGTTCAACTTGATTAGAATACTGGCTTCCTTCCCTTTACTGTTGGTTACCTGTGGATTTTTCTTTATGTAACTTAGTGTAGCCTTCATTTCTTCCCTTGTGCTCTTGCTGCACTCAGTGAGTTCTCTGAGCATCCTTATCACCAGTGGTTTGAACTCAGTATCTGATAGGCTGTGTATCTCCACTTTGTTTAGTTCTTTTTCTGGTGTTTTTTTTGTTGTTGTTCTTTCATTTGAGCCATATTTCTTTCTCTCCACAATTTGTCAGTCTCCCTATATTTACTTCTGTGTATTAGGTAGTGTGAATTTGACTCCTTGTGTTGGCACACCTGTTAAGTAGTATGGGATGGAGTCTTAGGTATTCACCAGGGGGGCAACCTGTTCCACCACTTTGTGGCTCTGTATGTGGTGTAGGGGTTGGAGAGGGGACAATGTTTTTGTCTGGCTGCTGGAGGCTTGCTTGGCACTTGCCCCATTTCTAGTCATTCTACCCACTTCCTTTATGTGATTTGTGCCCTTCTAGCTGTTGCCTTAGGGGTGGTTTCCAGAGTGGGTGTGTAGGTGTACTTTGAGGACTGTGCAGGTCCTTTAAACAGACTCTTCTGTGAGACTGGCAGTGTTTTCCACCACTCCAACCTCCACTAGATTTTATAGCCAGAAATTATGAGGCTTTATTTTTCCAGTGCTAGAAATCTGGGCTGTACTGTCTGGCCTGAGTTGCTCCCCAGGTATGCTTCCTAAATTTTATCTACTACATGTGAACATGGGGCTACCCATTCTGCCAGCTACCACCACTGCTGCTTTACTGCTGCCACCTCATGTTCTCTCATTCCTGGTTTTCTGTCTCTGTGCCTTATACTCGTCAGGATGAATATGGCTTCTTTAAATCCTTGGTTGTTGGACTGCCATACAGTTCAATTTTCTGATAGTTCTGGGAATTGTTTTCAGGTTAGCTGTGATCCTTCTTATGGTTGTGCTAGGAGGTGAAGCGTGTCTACCTACCTATGCCTCTATCTTGACAAGAAGTTCCTATTTTTATAGTTTTGATCTTTTTCCTAAGTAAGTCCCTTTAACATTTCATATAATAAGGGCTTGGTGATGACAAACTTCTTTAGTTTTTTCTTGTTTGGGAAGCTCTTCATCTGCCCTGTGATTCTAAATGATATTCTCGCTAGATAGAGCAATCTTGGCTGTAGGTTTCTGCTTTTCATGACTTAGTATGTCTCTTCTAGCCTGCAACGTTTCTTTTTGAGAAATCAGCTGACAGTCTTATGGAAACTCCCCTGTAGCTAACTAACTTCTTTTCTCTTTATCTTTAAGATTCTTTCTGTATCTTTACCCTTTGGCATTTTAATTATGATGTGCCATGGAGTGGGCCTCTTTGCATCCAACTTGTTTGGGACTCTCTGTGCTTCTTGGGCTTGCCCATCTATTTCCTTTGCCAAATTAGGTAAGTTTTCTTTCCTTATTTTTCAAATAGATTTCCATTTTTTTGCCCTTTCTCTTCTCCTTCTGACACCCCTATGATGTGAATGTTGTACTTCTTACAGTTGTCCCAGAGGCTGCTTACACTGTTCTCATTTTTTTTTATTCTTTTTTCTTGTTGTTGTTCTGTTGGTTGTTTTTTGCTTCCTTATGTTCCAAATTGCTGATTTGGTTTTTGGCTTCTGGCTTCATCCAGCTTAATGTTGTTTCCATGTAAATTGTTGTTTATTTCAAGTAGTGAGTATATCCTTTGTTTCTGACTGGATTTTTTTTATGCTGTTGAGGTCCTCACTAAATTTCTTGAGCATCGTTATAACCAGTGTTTTGAACTCTGCATCTGATAGATTGCTTAGCTCCATTTCATTTAGTTCTTTTTCTGGAGTTTTGATCTGTCCTTTCATTTGGGCCATGTTTCTTTGTCTCCTTGTTTTGGCAGCCTCCCTGTGTTTGTTGCTATGTATTAGGTAGAGCTGCTTTGACTCCTTCTCTTGGTAGTGTGGCGTAATGTAGTAGTTGTCCTGTAAGGTCCAGTGGCACAGCCTCCTCTGTCACCCAAGATGGGTACTCGAGGAGCCCCCTTCTTTTGGGTTTCATACACCTTCCTCTTGTAGTTGAGTTTTGGTTGCTCTTGGCAGGTCAATGGGAGGGATTTACCCAGACCAGTCACCTGCAAGGATTGGCTGTTACCATTTACCACCAACCTCCACCATCTGTGGAGGGTCAGCTGTGCAGGGTGGTTGTGCTCCAACGTAGTCTGTAGCAGTCCACTGAGTGTGCTGGCCCTGGGGTTTTCTGAGTGGTGCAGGCCAGCATCAATCCTAACTTGTGTGTTTACCCAGGGCCACCCAGCCTGAGCTATAAAGCAATCTGAAATGGCTACTACTTGTGCTGGGCTTGGAGATTCCCAGGTGAAGCCAAGTTGTGAATCTAGGCTGGCTATTGCTAGTGCCTGGGGCTCACTGAGGCCATCTTTTGCTTTTTTAAGAGGATTGTTGTGTAGCATGAGCCAAGACCCATTCATGTAGAAAAGCAGCTTGGTGGCCCCATATGTTGATTGGGGCAGAGTCTCTAGGTATCTCCATGGTGAGTCAGTGTTAGCCAGTCTCAGAAATGGTTCCAGCTTGCCAGCTTACAGGGGCGGGTCTACAAAAATGCAATGGACTCTGCTTGCCTCGATGCCAGATACTTCAGCCTCTCCCAGTATGCCACTGGGGCCTTTCAAGCTGCTACCCCTGTGCTGGAGCTCAGGGGCAGTGAGTCTATATGTGTGGATACTTTAAGAGGAATTGCTTGGGGCTCCAGCTGACTCAATCCCTGCTGGGGTTTTTTTTAGCTAGAAGTTGTGGGAATTTATTTTTATGGCACTGGAACCCTGGGCTGGGGGGCCTGGTATGGGTCTAGGCCTCCTTGCTCCTGATATTTTTATCTACCACATGTGGTTATGGATCCAGCCTGTTCTGTGTCTGCGCCCCTCCCTACCAGTCTGGATGGATGTGGTTTCTTTAATTCTGTAATTGTCAGACTTCTATTCAACTCGATTTATGACAGTTCTGAGTGATGGTTTTTCTATATTTTAGTCGTAGTTTTGTTGTGGCTGTGCGTAAGAGGCGAGCCATGTCTGCCTATGCCACCATCTTTACTGGAAATACCACAAAGTATCTTAAGTGCAGCTGGGGTTTAATTAATTGGGAATAATCGGTAATTAAAGGCTTCAAGTTTTACAGCTTGACTTAATTGGATCAGGTCATGATTTCTGTTACATATGAAGCAGAAATAATCAGTTGTGTAAAATAAAAGTGTAAAAAAGTCACTTTTTTTGGTAGTAGAGATTGCTTAAAACATAGTATGAAGAATTATGCATCCTTCTGAAAATTAGTAATCAATACTGTTCAAGTGTGTTCTGTTTTTGCCAGATATTGACAATGTGAAGCCATTGGAGGGTGTAAAAATTCTGGATCTAACAAGGTTTGTATTGGCTTATCTGTTTTTGGTGGTTGAGTTTTAACTTTCTCTCCAAAAATTCATTTATTTTTATATTATATGACTGTGCTTGTTTATATGTGTAGTATCAAAAATTTGGAAGGAAAAGTTCCTGGAATTTTATCATTTTGAAAGGCAATTTGTATAATATTTATGCATTTTTTCATTTTTTCCAGTCTGCATGTTTATATATAATTTTTAAAAACAAAAATTTGAACCATACTGAAATGAAGCATTTATTCACATTTTAAACATAAATGTTGCATTTTGTTTAACATTTTGTTGCATTTTGAATGGTTTCCTATATCATTCAAAATACAACAAAAAATAAACTTTTATTATATAGTTGTTACAAAATTAATCATCCCTTATACTTCAGTATTATAAATTATGTAAATCTTCATTTTATGTAAATCTTTGTCTCAGAAATCATTTAATTTTTTTCTGTAGGATAGAATTCTGGAAGTTGAATTGCTGCATTAAAGGAAATATATTTTTTAAAGCTCTTGATACATATCGCCAAATTACTTTTCGAAGAGTTCTAACAATTTTAATTCTTACTAGCATTATGTGAGCTTGTCTGTGTTGATAGACTATTAAGAAAATTAAAATAAAAATCTTTAAATGTAATTTATTTATCATTTAATATTGTAGAGTACTGGCTGGACCTTTTGCTACTATGAATTTAGGAGATCTTGGAGCAGAGGTTATAAAAGTGGAAAGACCAGGTAACGATATTGCTCTTTTTAAAACATAGAAACAAACTAATAAGTATTTTTAATAGTTTTAAAAGTATTCATGTACCTGTTTATGGAATGAAGAATTGAAATGAAAATATTATTTTCCTTTCTTCATTCCATATTTTCTTCTGAACCTATACTAATGATACTAATGATCTCTCTTTATTTTTTCTTTTTTTAAAATTTATTTATTTTTTATTGATTATGCCATTACAGTTGTTCTATTCCCCCTCTTCATTCCCCTCCACCCTACCTCCCCGTCCCCATTACCCCCCTTTAGTTTATGAGCATGTGTCTCAAGTTCTTTAGATTCTATATTTCTCATACTATTCTTGCCTCCCATCTATTTTCTATCTACTGTCTATGCTACTTATTTTCTGTACCTTCTCCCCCCTTCTCCTCCTCCCACTCCCCTGTTGCTAACCCTCCTCGAGATCTTCATTTCTATGTTTCCACTCCTGATCTAGCTGTCCTTTTAGTTTGCTTTTGTTTTAGGTGTGGTTGTTAATAACTGGGAGTTTGCTGTCCTTTCACTGTTCATGGTTTTTTAACTTCTTTTTCTTTTTTTTTTAAAATTTTTTATTGATTATGCTGTTACAGTTGTTCTATTCCCCCTTTATTCCCCTCCACCCTACCCCTCATCCCCACCATTACCCCCCCTTTAGTTTATGACCATGTGTCTCAAGTCCTTTAGATTCTATATTTCCCATGCTATTCTTGCCCCCCCCATCTATTTTCTATCTACTGTCTATGCTACTTATTTTCTGTACCTTCTCCCCCCTTCTCCTCCTCCCACTCCCCTGTTGCTAACCCTCCTTGAGATCTTCATTTCTATGTTTCCACTCCTGATCTAGCTGTCCTTTTAGTTTGCTTTTGTTTTAGGTGTGGTTGTTAATAACTATGAGTTTGTTGTCCTTTCACTGTTCATGTTTCTTTAACTTCTTTTTCTTAGATAAGTCCCTTTAACATTTCATATAATAAGGGCTTGGTGATGATGAACTCCTTGAATTTGATCTTATCTGAGAAGCACTTTATCTCTCCTTCCATTCTAAATGAAAGTTTTGCTGGATAGAGCAATCTTGGTTGTAGGTCTTTGGATTTCATGACTTGGAATACCTCTCTCCAGCCCCTTCTTGCCTGTAAGATCCCTTTTGAGAAATCAGCTGACAGTCTGATGGGGACTCCTTTGTAGGTCTTTCCTCTTATCTCTTGCTGCTTCTAGGACTCTCTCCTTCATTTTAATCTTGGCTAATGTAATTATGATGTGCCTTGGTGTGTTTCTTCTTGGGTCCAACTTCTTTGGGACTCTCTGAGCTTCCTGGATTTCCTGGAAGTCTATTTCCTTTGCCAGATTAGGGAAATTCTCCTTTATTATTTGTTCAAATAAGTTTTCCACTGGTGGCTGTTCCTTTCCCCCTTCTGGTACCCCTATAATTTGGATGTTGGAGCGTTTAAACATGTCCCGGAGGTTCCTAAGACTCTCCTCATTTTTTTGAATTCTTGCTTCTTCACTCTTTTCTGTTTGGCCATTATTTGCTTTCTTCTGGTTCACTCCATTGATTTGAGTCCCAGTTTCTTTTTCATCGCTATTGGTTTCCTGTGTAATTCCATTCATTTCAATTAGTTTCGCCTTCATATGTTTGTCTAATTTGTGGCTATAATCAACCAGTTCTGTGAGGATCCTGATGACCAGTGTTTTAAACTATGCATCTGAGAGTTTTGCTATTTCTTCATCACTTAGATTTATAGGCTCTGGGGCTTTGAGATCTTCTTGAGCCATTTTTGGTCTGTTCGTGCCCTTTAAGTGTGAGGAGCGGAGCCCTGGACTCCCAGGTCGCTGGGTTGTGACCCAACCCATATAATGTGGGGGCGTGGTCAGAGCCAGGAAATGGCGGCACCCTCTGCTGTTCTTTTTTTTTTTTTTTTTTTTTTTTCCCCTCTGCTGTTTTGAGCTGCTAGGTGAGCAGCAGAGCCTTAGGTGGTTCACCAGGGCCGGGCCACTCAGAGTTGCTGGGTTATGATGCTGTATGTGGAGGTGGGGTCAGAGCGGGTAAATGGCGGCTGCCGCTTGCCGAGGGGACCCGCTGGGTCCTGGTCCAATCGCCCACTCCCTCGCTTGTCTATCCACGCACAAATGCGCGACCACAGTCAACCCGCAGCCCTGCTCCCTCGCTGTTTCCCCACGGTCACTCGCCGGGTCGCTTGCTCGGGCTCTCACTAGGTCAAACCCTGCGCCTGGATTCCGCGTGCCTGAGTCCATCTGACCGAGTTTTCCTGTGCAACCCTGCTCCACCAGCTGCTGGTTTCGCCCCTTACCGGTCAGGCTGAAGAATTTGTTGTTAACAGACTTCCGAAAAGTTCAATTTTCTGTGTTCTGGCTGTGTTTTCTGTTGCTAATATTTAGTTGTCTCTAAACTTGGTTGTGTGAGAAGGCACCGCGTCTCCACCTATGCCTCCATCTTGGCGGAAGTCCTCGATCTCTCTTTATTTTTTATATATGCCAAGGGCTCAGGCTTAAGCCAGGTCCTTCCCACACACCTGAAAGCCTCTGGTAGAAACTGAGATGCAACATGTAATGATGCTAACAATACTTATTAAGTGCTAGGCACATTTTACAATGCTTTGTTTAGCTCAGGCTGGTGTCGCTCAGTGGATTGAGTGTGGGCCTATGAACCAAATAACCGCAGTTCAATTCCCAGTCAGGGCACATGCCTGGGTTGTAGGCCAGTTCCCAGCTGGGGACTCAGGAGAAGCAACCATACATTGATATTTCTCTCCCTCTCTCCTTCCCTTCCCCTCTAAAGATAAATAAATAAAATCTTAGAAAAAGAAAATGCTTTGTTTATATTATTGTAATTTATTTAATGTTAACATCAGTCTTATGGGCTGATGTTACTGTTCCTAGATTATAAATGAGAAGACAAAAACTCTGAGGTAAAGCAATTTGTCCAAGGTCACACAGCTAAGAGTATGCAGGTACTCAGCTCTGATTCTGTCTCTCCTTAGGCACACCCTGAACAGCATCTGGAATATTACATATTATTATATTTATCTGACTTTCACAGGTAATAGAGAAACCTGGTAAATCCTGCTTTCCAGAGATAATGCTTTATTTATTTAGTCAGTGATCTTCATTGTATTTAGTCATTGCTGGATACATGCTGAAAAATGTTAACATTCTAGCTAAACATCTTCTTTTTTGGGTTCCATAAAACTTCTAGTTTCTACATTTCTATCAATTTCAATACCACAACACTTTCTAATTTCAACCACTGTGACTTCCATTCTGGAGCATCCAATCTAATTTTTCTTGCTATTTCAGTTTGTCACTAGGTTAAATATTTGTATTTACATTAATTTTAAAAATTGTTATTTTCTATTTACATCAGCCTGGTTTTCCTTTGTACTTACTTGTTTCCATGGTGGGGGACATCTTCCTTTATCTAGGCCTTTATTATGTCCCATAGCCATATACTTTTTATCAAGCTTTGTTCCCAGCAGGTTTTCATCACTCTTTTTTCTGATTGACCTTGTTCCCTTAATTCTCCTGCCCAGTACATTTTGGTGTTCATATTATATAATTAATTGTTTTGGGGTTTCAACATAGTTATTTAACACATATGAGGAAAAGTAACTTGGCAGTATTTTTAAATTTTAGTAGTCACTTTTTGTGTCTACTTCTTCAGTTCTTTCAGTGAATAAAATTTGGTTGTAGGTTTCTGATTTAAGACTTAGATTATTTTTATTTCTGTAATCAAAGAGCATATCAAGCTTAAGTATATATATTTTTATATTTTTAGAGTTAGTGAGTGTAGTAAACTCTATGCCTGCAGGAACAGGTAGGTAACCTAAATGAGTGAAGGGGACTATGTATGGCTGCAAATGATGCTACTGATATTTCAGGATTGTCCTCAGTAGTCGGGGCTGTGAAGGTAGGGGTGTTGCTGTTTTGTTCACCAGTATGTCTGCTCTGCATAGAACAGTGTCTGTGACACTGTAATGGCCAGTAAATATTTGCTAAATGACTGAATGTGCTAAAATATCAATTAAGGCAGTCTGAATTTGTATATGAGCTCTCTAGATTTTGAAATCATGGCAGCCAGTTAAAAACTTTAAATTGTGTGTGGGTGAAATGAAACATGTGTCTGCAGTTGCCACTTTTACCAGTTTGTGACCTTTAATGTTTATTTTCTGTCATGTGTCATTGGTACTGATTCTTTTGCCTCTAAAACCCTGGCTGTATACCAAGGACAGGTGGGTCAGGAAAGTTGGTAGCACTTCAATTTAGATTTCTGACATTCTGAGAGATGAATGAAAACATTGAAAATGTGTATCTAATTTTAACCTCGTCATTGCTTAATTTCAAAACAATTTTTTTTTACTGTATTGAGAGTTTTCTAAAAAATGGAAATGTTTGGGCTTTCTCTTGACTTTGAGAGGTCCTGTCGGATCCTGAAGATCCAGGTTCATACATTTTTCCATAAAGCCTCTGGTTAATTACTGGCAGATTCCCTTTGCAGGCTTGTGAAGGTTTGTTTTTTTTTTTTGCCCCTGATATTTTGAGCATGATATTTGTTTGATCTTTACCATTTATTGTGTTGTTTTGTTATTAGTTCATCTCCAATTAGACCTAATGCTTGTTTTCTCCTGTGTCTTTTGTTTTTCTTGTGAGTTTCTTAAAAAAATTTAAATAAATGAGTGTATTATTTGCCTTCGTTTTGTTGTGTATTCCAAAAGGCTGTGTCTCGTTTTCTGGGTCAATTTCAGTAAAGTCTAATGGGCTAATTATATCATTAAAGTGAGATTGGAATTTAAGCTTTAACTTATATTCACAAATTCTTTTTGGGAGGCTAATGATAAATACTTTAGCTGTAATTACATAGTTGGTTAGTTTCTTATACCAATATTTAATCAGAACTTGTATTAAATTTTTTTAAAAAATATTTGATTTATTTATTATTAGAGAGAGGGGAAGGGAAGGAGAAAAAGTGGGAGACAAACATCAATGTGTGGTTGCCTGTCATGTGTCCCCTACTGGGGACCTGGCCTGCAACACAGGCATGTGCCCTGACTGGGAATGGAACTGGCAATCCTTTGCTTCAGAGGCCCATGCTCAATCCACTGAGCTACCCCAGCCAGGGCTTATCATTCCTTTTTCTAAACTGCTTTCTTCATGTAATTGTCTTGTAGAAGCAAAATTTTTTATATTCTTATGGCTTGTTTCTACCCTCTTTTGTAGATGTAGTTAATATTTCAAATAAGGTAAAATTTTATTCATTCAATGGTTACCAAGTAGAAATAATAGACCTTTTTATTAATCTTTCTTCTCTACTAACTTAAAACATTTCACAAGAATTTATAATGATTTGTAATGGAAGTAATTTTATTAAATTTGTTAAATGGTTCTTATATTTGTTACTGTTTTGACAATTGGTAATTGCTATTATTATTTGGAAAATTTTTACTGTAATCCTTACTATATTCTAACACATCTGAATTGCAAATAAAATCAATCAAGATGACTTAAATGTTTTTTCAGGAGAAAAATACATTTGCTTTAAGAGGAGAATATATAATATGAGTGGCTCCCTTGTTGAACTCTCAGTATTAACAGAAAACTTTATGATACTACTTTATATATATATATAAACATAATATATATATATATATATATATATATATATATATATATATATAAATTTTTAGAGTATAGCTGTTAATATCAAGGATCCAAAAAGAGTGAAAATCATCAAAGAGGTACAGTATGCTCAGTGAAAGGCATCTTACCACATGGATTATAATTAGGGATTTAACAGCAGAGTAAAAGTGTTTTAAAATTTCATTTCATTGACAATCTGTAATTTTGTTGTAAGTGCCATTTAAGATATAACTTTACTTTTATGGTAAGTATAATTTGCTTTATAATTTCTTGCATATTGTGTATAATGTTTCTTGATACTGTGAAGGTATTTAGTTTTAGTACTAGCTGCTATTGGCTGAGTGCCTACTCTGAATCCGGTCTTCGGCTTGGGCACTATACACTATGTTTACATTATCTTCTCAAATTCTGAGATTTTTGACTTGCAAATGAGGTATTAGAATCTTCATTTTCACAGGAGGAAAATGAGTGTTATGGGGCTTAAGTAATGCTCTGAAGATTACATAGCTGGTAAAAGGAAGAGCTGAAATTTGAACCCTGGGTTCACATCACTAGAGAGCCCAAGTTTTTTCTAACACTTATTCAGATCCCCAGTATGTCCAGACGTGCTCTTGGTATCCTTCCTTGAGGAACAGGATCATAGAATGGTTTGGAGCATATCCTAGCATTCCATTGCTGGGATTCAGATCTCTTCTCTAATTTTTAAAATATATTTTATTGATTATGCTATTACAGTTGTCCCATTTCTCCCCTTTAATACTCCTTTGCCCTGCACATGCCCTCGTGCCTGCATTCCCCACCTACTCTTAGTTCATGTCCATGAGTTACACATATAAGTTGTTTGGCTTCTCCATTTTCCATACTATTCTTTACCCACCCCCCCATTTACTACCTATCATTTATGCTACTATTCCTGTACTCTTCTCTCCTGTCCTCCTCCACTTCCCCACTGATAACCTTCCATGTGATCTCCATTTCTGTGATTCTGTTTCTACTGTAGTTGTTTGCTTAGTTTGTTTTTTGTTTTTTTAGGTTCAGTTGTTAATAGTTATGAATTTGTTGTCATTTTCCTACTCCTATTTTTGATATTCTTCTTTGTCTTAGATAAATCCCTTTAACATTTCATATAATAAGGGCTTGGTGATGATGAACTCCTTTAACTTGACCTTTTCTGGGAAGCACTTTAGCTGCCCTTCCATTCTAAATGATAGCTTTGCTAGATAGAGTAATCTTGGTTGTAGGTCCTTGCCTTTCATGACTTTGAATACTTCTTTCTAGCCCCTTATTGTCTACAAGGTTTCTTTTGAGAAATCAGCTGATAGTCTTATGGGAACTCCTTTGTAGGTAGCTGTCTCCTTTTCTTTTGCTGCTTTTAAGATTTCCTCCTTATCTTTAATCTTGGGTAATGCAATTCTGATGTGCCTTGGTGTGCTTCCTTGGGTCCAACTTCTTTGGGACTCTGAGCTTCCTCAACTTCCTGGAAGTCTATTTCCTTTGCCAGATTGGGGAAGTTCTCCATTATGTTTACAATTTCTTGCTCTTCCTCTTCTCCTTCTGGCACCCCTGTGATTCGGATGTTGGAATGTTTTAAGTTGTCCTGGATGTTCCTAAGCCTCTCCTCATTTTTTTGAATTCTCACTTTTTCATTCTGTTCTGGTTGAATGTTTATTTCTTCCTTCTGGTCTAAGCTATTGATTTGAGTCCAGGTTTCCTTCTCTTTACTATTGGTTCCCTGTATATTTTCCTTTATTTCACTTTTTATAGTGTTCACTGTTTCTTCTATTTTGCAACCATACTCAACCAATTCTGTCAGCATCCTGATTACCAGTGTTTTGAACTGTGCATTTGTTAGGTTGGCTATTTGTTTGTCACTTAATTGTATTTTTTCTGGAGCTTTGATCTGTTTTTTATTTGGGCCAAATTTTTCTGTCTCTGAGTGCCTGTTACCTAGTAAGGGGCAGAGCCTTAGGTATTTGCCAGAGTGGGGCAACCCACATTGCAGTGTCATCATGCTGTATGTGGGAGAGGGGTCTGAGAGGGAACAGTGCCACTCGTTCAGCTCTTGGCCAGCTTTTAGTCACTTCCTGTGCTACCTACAAGCAAATTGTGCCATTCTGGTGCTGATGCCTGGGTAGGTGGGTTTTTGTACATTGTAGGACCCTGTGGATCTCTTTCCATTGAACTCTCCTGTGAGGCTGGGAGTTTCACTGACCACCTCAAACCTCCACAGGTTTTTTCAGACAGAGATTTTGCAGCTTTATTTCTGCACACCAGAACCCAAGTTCTGTCTTGTTCCCCAGTTGTTCCTCCCAGCTTATCTGTATGCAAATGTGAGACCTCCTGCTCCTACCTGTCTGGATGAATATTTCTTCTTTAACTCCTTGGTTGTTGGATTTCTGTAAAGTGTGGTTTTCTGTCAGTTCTGGTTGGTTTTTGTTTTTTAAATTTGTTTTTGTCCTTCTTTTGGTGGTGTGAGGAGGCACAGTGTATCTACCTGTGCCTCCATCTTGGCTGGAAGTCCTCTTCTGTACTTTATAGCCATGTGACTTCAGACAGGTTACTTAAAGAATGCCTCAGCTTCCTTATTAGTAAAATGCGGATGATAATACTACCTACTTCTTAGGATTATCATTATAATTATTATTATTGCTGATGTACATGAAATTGAATTCATCATGTGAGGTTGAACTTGTTTGCCATCTTTGTTACAGTTTAAAATCTAATGTAATGGATGTAAGTCTACCTGATTAGAGAAACAAACTTCAAAATTTGTTTTATACCAAACAATCAACTTTAACATCCTTGCTCTGTTGGTACTTTTCCTATCTAGTGGGTGATTGAAAGATAATTTTTTATGTTTATTAAGATGAGAATCAGTGGCCATCACTTTGGTTTTATTGGATTAACCTTGTAAATTTAGAGTTTTTGTTTACTAGATATATTTTGAACCCAAGCTTGTTAATTGCCTTGATCTGTGTTACTACATCTTTTCTATAGCATAATTTAGCTTTTTTAATATAATTGTTTTAATTTTAATTTTTATTATTTATAATATTAAAGATATTTCATTTATTCTCCCTTCACTTCCCTCCACCCAGTCCACCTGCTACTTTCATAGTCAGTCCCCACACCACTGCCTGTGTCCATGGGTCCTTCATGAATGTTCTATGACTAATGCCTTCACCTTCTTTCAATAAGTTCTCATCTCCACCATCCCCTCTTACAGCTATTAGTGTATTCCATGATTCCATGCCTCTGGTATTATTTTGCTCATTGTATTATTTTGTTCATTAGATTCCTCTTATAAGTGAGATCACATGATATTTGTCTTTCACTGATTGACTTACTTCAGTTAGCATAATAGTCTCCATTTCCATTTATGCTGTAGCAAAAGGCATGGATTCCATCTTTTTTTCTGTTGTATAGTATTCCATTGTATAAATACACCACAGTCTTTCTTTAAAATTTTTATTTAGTAATTTTTGAAGTACAGTTTTCTGTCTATTTCTCCCGTCCGTGCCCACCCCGCCCCGTGCTCCCCACCTCCCTCCCATTTCCACCCCGCTTAGTTCTTGTCACTGTGTGCTTCATGGTTGTTCCTCCAAATTCCTCCCTTTTTTCCCCTTAAATTCCCTTCCCTCTCCCCTCTGGTCACAATCCCCTTGTTCTCTATTTCAGCGTCTTTGTTTTTATTCTGCTTGCTTGTTTGTTTTGTTGTTTAGCTTCCTGTTAAAGGTGAGATCATATGGTATTTGTCTTTCAACACCTGGCCTATTTCACTCAGCATAATGCTTTCCAGTTCCATCCATGTTGTTGCAAAGGGTAGTAGCTCCTTCTTTCTCCCTGCTGCATAGAATTCAATTGTGTATATGTACCACAATTTTTTGATCCATTCATTTACTGATGGGCACCTAGGTTGCTTCCAACTCCTGGCTATTGTAAATTGTGCTGCTATGAACATTGTGGTGTATGGGTTCTTTGAAATTGATGTTTTAGGATTCTTGGGATATAATCCTAGCAGTGGAATTGCTGGGTCAAAAGGCAGGTCAATTTTTATTTTTCTGAGAAAATTCCATACTGTTTTCCATAATGGTTGTACCAGTCTGCAATCCTACCAACAGTGAACTAAGGACCCCTTTTCCCCCACAACCTCTCCAACATGTGTTGTTTGTTTCTTTGTTTATGATAGCCATCCTGACTGGTGTAAAGTGGTATCTCATTGTGGTTTTAATTTGCATCTCTCTGATAGCTAACGATATTGAGCATCTCTTCATGTGTGTCTGGATATTCTGTATGTCGTCCTTGGACAAGTGTCTGTTCAAGTCCTTTTCCCATTTTTTAATTGAGTTAGTTGTCTTCTTAGAGTGGAGTCATGTCAGTTTTTGTATATTTTGAAGATTAAACCTCTGTCTGAGGTATCATTGGCAAATATGTTTTCCCATACAGTTGGTTGTCTTTTTAATTTAATAATGTTTTCTTTAGCCACGCAGAAGCTTTTTATTTTGATGAGATCCCATTTGTTTATTCTTTCCTTTACATTCCTTGCTCTAGGGGACATATCAGTAAAAAATGTTGCTGCGTGAAATATCTGAGATTTTCTTTCCAATGTTCTCTTCTAGTACTTTAATGGTGTCACGGCTTATATTTAAGTCTTTTATCCACCTTGAATTTATTTTGGTGTATGGTGTAAGTCTGTGCTCCAGTTTCATTTTTTTGCACATAGCTGTCCAGTTCTCCTAACACCATTTGTGGAAGAGGCTATCTTTACTCCATTTTATGTTACTGCTCCCTTTGTCGAATATTAATTGACTGTAGAGAGTTGGGTTGATTTCTGGGCTCTCTGTTCTGTTCCATTGGTCTATGTGCCTGTTTTTATGCCAGTACCAGGCTGTTTTGGTTACAGTGGCCTTGTAATACAGTTTGATATCAGGTATTGTGATCCCTCCTACTTTGTTCTTTCACCAAAAGTGCAGCTGCTTTTCGGGGTTGTTTATGGTTCCATATAAATTTTTGAAGTGTTTGTTCTAGGTCTGTGAAATATGCCATTGGTACTTTAATAGGTATTGCATTGAATCTGTATATTGCTTTGGGTAGTAT